GTTGTGGGTTTGATCCCTGGTTGGGATGCGATAGATATTTTTCTCTCTCTCCCTTCCTTTCTCTCTAAAGTCAGTAAAAACATATCCTTAAGATTAAAAAAAAAAAATCAACTGCAAAAAATGTAAAAACACCCACAAATATGTGGAAATTAAACAACATACTATTAAAAATGATTGGGTCATTTTAAAATAAAATGATTGGGTCACTATTAAAAATAAATAAAAGATGAGATCAGAAGATATATAGAGACAAATGAGAATGACAATACAACATATAAAAACTTCTAGGATACAAAAGCAGTAATAAGAGGGAAGTTTATATTATTACATGCCTATCTCAAAAAAAATAAGAAATCCCAAGTAAACAACCTATATTTTATCTTAAAGAACTAGAAAAAGAACAAAAACAACCCAAAGTCAGTAGAAGAAAAGAAATAAAAATTGGAAAATTGAATGAAATAGAGAACAAAAGACTATATGAAAAATTAATACAACAAAGAGCTGATTCTTTAAAAAAATATTATTAAAATTAACAAGCCCCTGGCTCTGTTCACTAAGAAAAAAAGAGAACTCATATAAACAAATTCAGAAATAAAAAAGAAGTTACCACAGACATCACAAATATACAAAGGAACACACTAGAATACTATAAAAGACTATGTGCCACCAAATTCAGTAACTTAGAAGCAACAAAACAAAAATGCAACCAACCAAATGGGAGGTGATATTTGCAAACAACAGCTCCGACAAGGGATTGATATCCAAAATATATATATATAAAGCACTCATACAACTCAACACCAAACAAACAATCCAATAAAAAAAATGGGCAGAAGACGTGAACAGACACAGACACCTCTCCCAAGAAGACATACAAAAGTCCAGAAGATAGATGAAAAGATGTTCAACTTCACTAGCTATTGGGGAAATGCAAACCAAAACTACAATAAGATACTACCTCACACCTTTTAGAATGGTTATTATTAACAAGACAGGTAATAACAAGTATTGGTGACAGAAGACGATTTGACTGTGGGTGGTGGGCACACAATGCAATATACAGGTCATGTATCATAGAAATGTACAATTGAAACCTCTATGATCTTATTAACCAACTAGAGGCCCGGTGCACGAATTCGTGCACAGGTGGGGTCCCTCAGCCTGGCCGGCGATTGGGGCTGATCGGGGTCGTCTTGCCCAGTCCCTATAGGGGCGATCGGGGCCAGCCGGCTGGGAGGAAGGGATCGCAGGAGGTTGGTCCACCACAGGAGGTTGGCTGTGGGAGCGCACTGACCACCAGAGAGCAGCTCCTGTGTTGAGTGTCTACCCCGTGGTGGTCAGGGCATGTCATAGCAACTGGTCGACTGATCGTTCTGTCATTCAGTCATAAGGGTCACTTAGGCTTTTATATATATAGATGTCATCCCAATAAATTTGACCATATTTACATGAATTTAATAAAAACTTGTTAAACCCCTATTTGAAGAGATCAATATATACAGTAAACTCTTAGCTGGATATTTACTAGCCCATGTACATAGCATAGTGTAAATGAACTCTATTCATTATTCTGACCATGAGGCAATGGCAATTCTGAATATATGAGTAATTGTAGTGTTAAAGTATTAAATTCTTTGAGGTGTGACAAGCATTTAAGTTCAAATACTTTAATTCCCCAATGATGCTAGGCAGCAGAGTTTAAAGCCATGATTAAGCAACCTAAAAATTTTACACTTCGATAGTATAGTTGGTATGTATACTGTCTTAAAATTCAAGGTCCAAACATATAATAAAAGTATAATAAAGAGAAGACATACCACAAAGCAAAAAAAAAAGCTAATTTTTGCTACTTGAGTTGCAGTAAGTTTCCCCACAGTTTTGAGTAAGGATTCTTGTTCTTTCACAGTAGGATATGACATGCGAGACAACTTAGCTTCCAATGCATGGCTTGATGGAAGCTGTCGAATCTCCATGATATTACTGAACCTTACACGAGACTTTTTGGGAGCTTAAAAGAAAAAGTATAGTACAAATCATTAAACGTTTCTCCTCACATCCAACAAGTCACATTTTAATTTACTAATAAAAGCATATTATTTAATGATCAGACTTGAACAAAGAAAAACCAGTTATATCATTACCTGAGGCAGCTTTGCTCATTCAAAAAAGTAAACAGAAAAAACGTTTACATCTATAAAAATGTTTTAAAGGTTTAAGGTACGACCAATATTCAAACAAGATTTCTGCAACTGTATATATACACAACTGCCTAGTTCAGGATCATAGTATGATTAGAGGCCCGGTTCACAAAAATTTGTGCACTCGGGGGGGTCCCTCAGCCCGGCCTGTGCCCTCTCACAGTCTGGGATCCCTCGGGGGATGACCACCTGCTAGCTTGGGCCCGCTCCCCAGGGGATTGGGCCTAAGCTGGCAGTCAGACATCCCTCTGGCAGCCCGGGAGCCCTCAAGAGATGTCCACTTGCCAGCGGGGAGCAGGCCTAAGCTGCAGTCGGACATCCTTAGCGCTGCTGAGGAGGCAGGAGAGGCTCCCACCACCACCGCTGTACTGGCAGCC